GAAAACCCTACGGAACACAATTCTACTCTGCACATGTGGGGTCACTATGAGTCAGAATCAACTCAACAGCAACTAACAATAACAACAACGATATTAAGGGGCTGATTAATCAAAATGCTGCATAAATAGAAGTGATACTTAATGAATGGAAAATCACAATCATACAAACTAATCGGACGTAAAGGGGTCAACAACAGAAATCTGATGTTACCTTAAGATCATATAATTAGGAAAAGGGAAAGCAGAGCCCATCCTCCTTTAGTTAAGGGGTGAATGAAGGTTTAAAATTGCAGAATGGGGAAAGCCAGGAAATGACAAACTGGTAAAAACTAGGACTCCTAACTTTTGATATTCACTTACATATCTCAATCCTAAAATTTTCATTAAACTCAAATACAAACCAAAATGGAAAGCGGTAAATCCAAAAGGAAAGCTATGTAGGTAGAAACCCAATAAAACAAGCAATCCAACTGAGAACCAACAAAGTCCTCAGGCTCTTTTGTCTCTTTCTGTTTAAGGAAAAACTGCTGCTCAACTGCCTCTAATACAGGAAAGATCAGGCAGCATGCTCTGCCCTAAGAGAGTCCACACCTGGCAACCAGGTTTTCTCAAGCAAATTTTGAGAACTCTCTAGCTTCCCACATTCTAATTATAGAACTTCATAAAAACCATTCTCTCTCACACACACATTCTCTCTTTCTCTCTCTCCTTTTCTCCTTCTTTCTCCCCAGCCCCCTCCCCCCGAATCCTTCAGTGTTATGATACCGCAGTAAAAATCTGGATAAATCTGACAATTTCGCCGCAAACAGAGAAATAAATATGAAAAGAAAGCTCTCTCCTTTGTACACTTGCACCATTATTCTGACAATAATAATCCCTCCACTAAATGATAGTATAGTGCCTTTTTCCCATAGGAGCTTAAAGTATTTATAATATAGAAACCATAGTACAGTTACAGGCAAAAGGAGCCCTGGTGGCACACAGGTTAAGCACTTAGCTGCTAACCAAAAGGTTGGTGGTTCCAACCCACCAAGCAGCTCCACAGGAGAAAGGCCTACCAATCTGCTTCAGTAAAGATGAGAGTCAAGAAAACCCTATGGGGCAGTTCTACTCTGTCACATGGGATCACTATGAGTCAGAATCAACTTGATGGCACCTGATGACAACAATAATATAGTTAAATATTTATGCCAGAACTTATCAAGCTAAATGAGTGTTGGGAAGGACATATCCCAAAACAGTTTTGGAACTCCTCTTCTGAAAAAGTCTTTAGAGACTGTGGTATATTCTATTAAACTAAATTTCATAAATAAGATACTAGGCTTTATAGTACAGGTTACTATAAAGCTCATGGTTCAATAGAATAGCCCCAAATCAACCACCAATGACTAGTGAATGATTTAATGAATTAGATATTTATAAACGCATAGTACATGCTAGGCACACTATAGGTCATGGACACGCAGTATGAACAAAACAATTACCTTGCCTTCATGATAAATAGGGACCACCTGAAAATTATAAATTGCATTTTTAGAAATGATTAAACTCCATATGGCACCATGAAGTGCTTTAGTCAAAACAGTGCCATACAGAAAAGGACTATGTTTAACATAAAGATGATAAATTTGCTTTGTATGCAGGAGTTTGAAATGTTTTATAAAACAAGAGTGCCACTGATAGAATTATATAAACTTGCAATACGACTTCTTTAAAGAACAACTTTAATTTGACGTATAAACTCACTCAGTTACTCTCTTTCACTTTGTGGATGAGGAAACAAAGGCCGAGAGAGGCTGAGTAACCTCTTAAGGTTATACAACTGGTTAGTGTTAGACTTCCCATTAGAACCTGAGAGGCCTGTCCACTAGTTCAGTGCTCTTTTAGGAAACACAACTTTCTTCAAGGGCAATTACTTTAACCTACACATCTCAAATATTTTACAACCTTCTGACCTGAGTGAGGTGTAGACACAGTCATAAATTTTCAAAGTATGAAACTTTCAAAGTATTAAAGCAAAAAGAGATCAAAATATTTTTCTACCAAGTGGAGGAAAAATTGTGATTTGATCAATTGTGTGCTGTTCTTTTATGTAATCCTTCCAGCAGCTCCTTCCACTTGCTCCTATTCTTCTCCCATTATTTTAATTAAATTTAAAATGCTGTGTTTTCTTCAACTACTTACTACTATTATAGGAGTCCCCGGGTGGTGCAAGTGGTTAAGCATTTGACTACTAGCCAAAAGGTTGACAGTGAGAACCCACCCAGAGGCACCACAGGCCTGGTGATCTGCTTCTAAAGTTCACAGCCTTGAAAGCCCTATGGAGCAGTTCTACTCTGCATACACGGGGTCGCCATGAGTTGGCATCAACGGCGACTAACAGCAACTATAACTATCTTTATTAAGGCCACCATACATCCAAAATTAAGGAAACTCTTGTGGCCTTTTCAAATTTAGATTAAATGAACTATAAAGTCTTTTTTTAGCTTTAAAATTATGTTAACTTTGGTGCTTACATTACCCTAGGATTCAATTAAGTAAGTATTTAGAAAGCACTTACACACAGTGCACCTAGCATTGTGCTAAATTAGTGTATCAAGAAAGCTAGCTAAAGACTACTTAACTTGGGCAAAGCACTGAAACCATATGGGCCTAGACAGATAATTTTCAAATGGTGCTTCCAAGTTTCCATAAATATTTGATGATGTGACTACTTGGCCCAGGAGGAGAGAAGTCAAGGCACCAGAGTCAGGCCCACTTGCCCATGCTCAGCCTCAAAGTAGACTTTCTGCTTAAAAAAAAAATGTGAAATCCACTCAGAAAATCTAAGGACGTCTCTAGAATTCTATAAGAATCTGTTATTGTTTTCAATCCATATTTAACCAATGATATATATGTCAGCCATGGTGAAGAAGCAGACTCTCCCTCTGGAATTAATTTTGTTGTTAGTTGCCATTGACTTGATTGAGACTCATGGCGACCCTACATATTGTACTTAGTACATATTTTGGGGTTTCTCTGTGGAATAACTAAAGTATAACACTACTGAATCCAGCTCTGTGAAACATGCCTCAAGTTTCTCTTAGGTAATACTTGGTAAGATTTGTCTACTTTTGAGATATTTCTTCTAACAATAGAAATAACCTGGCTTCCTGTCATCTTTCTCCCATTATTTTATGCAAATATAGGAGCTGTTCTATTTGCCCTCTGTCAAACAGAATAGCCGCCAAAACTTCTACACCCTCTCCTTAGCAGATGGCTTCATTCCTAAGTGTATAAAGACTGAGGCGTTCCAATATGAGCACAGCAATTTTCCCCTACCTTTAACATTTCTCTGCAAACCTCTCTTCCCCTGGGTTAATCTTTACTGTTAATCCCGCTCCTGCCCCACCTTGCTCCCTCAATTACTTTCCCTCTTATTTGATATGTACACACTTTCCATAAAATAACCTAAACATTTTTTCAGGCTTAGCCCTCCTAAACTTCACCCAATTCTTAAATTTATGGTGGATGGTCCTTGGCTTATAGTACAATGCCTTTTGCTTTTACTGAATGACACTTCAGAAAGAAGCTTTATGGAAATTACTACTGTTTTTATTATAGATAAGTTACAAAGGCTATTGCCAGGTATGTTACTTACCATCTCCTCTAAATGAAGCCATATGAGAAATGTCTTTCCTATTCAATGCCCAAAAAGTTTAGCTTTTCCTGATAGGTTTTCATCTTGTACACAATTAACATTTGTTTTCCCTTGCTCTGGCTACCAGGAAGCTCAGGGTCAAATCTGCAGGTCAATTTTAATGTGATGATCTCATTCATTCATAGCTTACGTAATTCATGTATTTTCATTAGCTTTAATTTTAAAATTAAAATTTTTTTTAAATTTTGTGATCATATGTTCTTGTAAATTGCCTCAGATACTTCATGACACAAGACAGAGTATGAATAAATAGATTATGTGATTTCCAGAATCCACTGCATGTCTGTATTTAACAGAGACTTGTGGACTTGAACAAAATTTCCTTTTCCTATAAAAAGTCTTGCATGGTACAAATGGTTAAATAAGCACTTGATTACTAGTCGAAAAGTTGGCGTTTCAAACTCACCCAGAGGCGCCTTGGAAAACAGGCCAAGAGTTCTGCTTCTGTAAGGCAACAGCTTTGAAAACCCTATAGAATAGTTCTACTCTGCACGTATGGGGTCACCATGAGTCGGAATCGACTCGACGGCAACTAACAACATAAAAAAAAGAAAGCAGAGGAGGGTGGCTAATTAAATTGGCTGGACTTACTGCACTAGGGTCTTCTGATTTTATTTATATTGTATATATTATGAATCTGTTATCTAAAACATGATCTATTTGCCATTATATCAATGAAATGAATGAAAAGCAAGCTGCAACACTAAATCAGAAGTACTTTCATTCTTACAGTATATTGGCATTTTCTATATTTTCAATTACATGGTTTGTTTCCTCTTGAACATATACTTATGTGATGGCTCTATTAAGATTTTTTTTAATTACAGAAGTAACTATTAGTATAGGCTGTGGGAAACTGGAAATGGCTACAATGGGAAGTTATAAAACCTCTCTGAGTTTGAATGCAAGTCCTTCTAGGAAGTCCTGCTAGACTCGAGTACGTATCATTCATTCAACAAATATTTACTATATGCTATATGTCAAGAATATATGATTTTTAAAGTGCTCTATAGAGACATGGAGCTTGTTTAGGTCCAGGAAGCTGTGTTGTAAGGAAGACGGGAGTGCCTACTGTCTACTCTGTTTTACAACACTGAAGAGTTAATCTGAAACAATTAGACATGTGTCAAATATTTCAGTACAGTCTCTCATGTGACCGTCATCCAAAGGCACAGATCTGGAAAGACCTAACACACACTGTTCAGTAACTATGCAAGCTTAACAGTTTTGAACTGAGTGTTTCCAGAAGTAAGATATCTAACCTTTCACAAACAGACATTTTAATAAGTTTATTTCCTACCTGATATATTCTAAAAGGAATGTAACGAAATCCATTTTCTTCAGCAGGATACTCCATGAGTTTCCGATTGATGGCCCAAAACTGGTCAAATCTGTCTGTAACGATAATAATTTATTAAAAATGAACAAGATTATACTGTAATATCTCACATGAAAAGATGAAACCTAGAAGTTTTTTAAGGGGCATTATTTATATATTATTTTTTCTCAATCTAATTTATCTGTCCATAACTATGTCCAAACATAATGCTAGATAAAAAATTAATTTTTCTACATTATTGCTTCTTCCTAGATATTCACATACGACATTTTTTCCCATAAGAAAAACCCTACACAGATATATCGCTACTCATCGTTCTCAAAGCAAAAAGCACCAGGTTGGGATGATGTCTTGATTCCTTTAGTCCTTCTGTCTAAACTATAAAGGCCCAGCTTCAGGTGATCCAAATTTTATCCAGATCTTGTTAAAGAAACAAAGTCAAAATACTGAACACTGTAAACATTAAACAGCAAAGAATATAATCTTACAGGAAGGGTTTTAGAAAAAAATGTAGAATTTACAGTTATAAAATAACTGTCAACTGCAGCTTAATTTCAAACTGATTAAACATCTTTTTTATTTTTCAGGATCAGTTTTTTTTTTTTAAACAGCTTTACTGAGATAAAATTCACATACCATAAAATTCACCCTTTTAAAGTACACAATTGAGTGTTTTTTTGGTATGTTCACAGAATTGAGCAACCATCACTAATTTCAGAACATTTTCATCATCCTGAAAGAATTTTCATACCCATTAACAGTTACTTCCTTTTCTCCCCTCCTCAGCCTCTGGAAATCACTAATCTACTTTCTATCCTTATGGTTTTGCTGAATTTTGACACTTCATATAAATGGAATAATATGTGGCCTTTTCCACCTGGCTTTTTTCACTTAATATAATGTTTGGCAGGTTCAAGCATGTTGTAGCATATATGAGTACTTTATTCATTTTTATGGTCTAGTAATATTCCAGTGTATGCATATGCCACATTTTGTTTATCCATTCATCAACTGATAGATATTTGGGTTGTTTTTGACTTTTTGGCTATCATGAATAAGGCTGCTATGAACATTCATATGCAAGTTTTTGTGTGAATGTATGTTTTCAATTCTCTTGGGTATATACCTAGAAGTGGAATTGCTAGGTTATATGGTAACTGTATGTTTAACCTTTTGAGAAACTGCCAGATTGTTTTCCAAAGTGGCTGCGAGGGGTGTCTCATTCTGGTCTTAACTTGTATTTCCCTAATGATTAATTATGGGGCCCTAGTGGTGCAGTGGTTAAGAGCCTGACTGCTAACCAAAAGGTCAGCAGTTCGAATCCACCAGGTGCTCCCTGGAAAGCATATGCGGCAGTTCTACTCTGTCCTATAGGGTCGCTATGAGTCGGAATTCACTCGATGGCAACGGGTTTGGTGTTTAGTTTAATGACTAATTATGTTGAGCATTTTTTCATGTGTTTATTAGCTATTTGTATATCTGCATATGTTTATTCAAGTTATTTACTCATTTTTTTTTTTAATTGGGCTGATTGTCTTTTGTTGTTGAATTGTAGGAGTTCTTTGTATGTTCTGGATATTGAAACTTTGCCAGATACATGATTTCCCAATATCTACTACCATTCTGTAGGTTGTCTTTTCACTTTCTTAATAATGTCCTTTGATGCACGAAATTTTTTTAACTATGCCCAATTAATCCATTTTTTCTTTTGTTGCTCATGCTTCTGGTGACATATCTAAGAATCCACTGCCAAACACAAGGTCCTGAAAATCTGTTTTCTTCTAATAGTTTTACGGTTCTAGTGTATATTTAGGTTCTTGATTTGAGTTACGGTATTAAATAATGCGCATCTTCTATGTTTGTTGGCAAACCATGTCCTCCCCCACGACATATTTTCATAAATGCACTATGCTAATTTTTTTATAGCACCATGTAAAAAAATATAGGCATAGCAGTGCTTACGAAAATACCTCGTGGGGTGGGGTCACAGTTGGCAAACAAAAGTAGAAGGCATGCGTTATTTGTGTAAATATAAGGTAATTTTTTATATGGTGTGAGGTAGGGGTCCAACTTCATTCTTTTGCTGTGAAAATCTAGTTGTTCCAGCACAATTTGTTGAAGAGACTATTCTTTCCCCCACTCAATGGAAATGGCACTCTTGTCAAAAATAAATGGTCATAGATGTATGAGTTTATTTCTGAACTCTCATTTTATTCCCCTAGTCTATATATGTCCATATTTATGCCAGTACCACACAGTCTTGACTACTGTAGTTTTGGGAAGTGTGAGTCCTCTAACTTTGCTTTCCTTTTTAAAGAATGTTTTGGCTATTTGGGGTCCCTTGCAATTTCATATGAATTTGAAGACTTTTTTTCATTTCTGCAAAACATGCTGTTGAATTTTGATAGGGATTGAGTTGAATCTGTAGATCACTTTGGGTAGTAGTGACAACTTCACAAAATCAACTTTTCCGATCCATACGGATGTCGTCTCATTTACTCAGGTCTTCTTTCATTTCTTTCAGCAATGTTTTATAGTTTTCAGTGTACAAGTCTTCCACCATCTTGGTTAAATTTTTCCTAGGTATTTTATTCTTTTAGATGCTACTATAAGGGGAATTCCTTTCTTAATTTCCTTTCTGGATTGGTCATTGCAGCGATTTTTGTGTGCTGATCTTGTACCCTGCAACTTCGTTGAATTCTTTTATTAGCTCTGGTTGCCTTTTTTGTGGATTCTTTGAGATTTTCTATATAAAGGATCATGTCACCTGAGAATAGAGATAGCTTTACTTCTTCCTTTCCAATTTGGATGCTATTTCTTTTTCTTGCCTAATTGCTCTGTCTAGAACTTCCAGTACAGTGTTGAATAGCAGTGGTGAAAGTGGGCATACAGGGAAGCTTTCAGTCTTTCACCATTGAGTATTATGTTAGTTTTGGGTTTTTCATAAATACCCTGTATCGTGTTGAGAAAATTCACTTAAAACAGAGATTTAAACTGGTTCTAAAAGAAAAAAAAAACAAGGGCTAAAGCAGTGATCATCTACCAGGGAAGATTCTGCTCCCCAAGGGACATGTGAACATGTCTGGAGACATTTTTGGTTGTCACAAGTTTTGGGGTGTGTGTGCGTGCGTGCGTGTCCAGCATCTAGTGAACAAATGTCAGGACTGCTACTAAACATACCACAGTGCCCAAAAAAACAGTTCCCCACAAGAAAGAATTATCTGGCCCAAAACGTCAACAGTGCTAAGGGTGAAAAACCCTGGGCTAAAGAAAAAGAAAGCAAACACAGACACAATAAAAAGCACAGAAAGGTAATTAGTAAATAGTCAAGATTTTACATACCTATATGGACAAAAGAAACCCTAGTGGCATAGTGATTAAGAGTTCGGCTACTAACCAAAAGTTCCGCAGTTTCAAATCCACCAGGCACTCCTTGGAAACCCTATGGAGCAGTTCTACTCTGTCCTATAGGGTAGCTATGAGTCGGAATCAACACGATGGCAACGGGTTTGGTTTGGGTACATGGACAAAACTAAACTGTAAGAAAAAAGAACACTATTGTGCTAGTTATCAATTCACTGCCTCTAAGCTCCAAACTCACCCTTTGATTTATGTGCTGCCATGATGGACAGAATTGCTTTCAGCATCTATCCTTGAAAATAATGTTTTCTCAAGTAGAGCGCACTGAAGGAGCAATGCAGAAGGAAGCAGTCTACTGCAGTTTCTGGCTGCTGCATGGTGGGTCAGTAGTATGGGAATGAGAATATTAGGCAGAGCTCTGCACCAGCCACACACCCAGATATACAGTCTTTCGGCAACCTTGCATCCTTGGCCTGACGATAACCTGCCTTCTCAACAAAGGAACCAGCACTCCAAAGTCCCTTGCCCTCACTGGCGCCCCAGTTTTCATGTGGGCAGCTCACCTGCTGTCTCCCATAGGGCCGCCACCTCCTATTCACACCCATGCCACCAGCTGTTGATGCCCTGTACTCCACCTGCACTCCAGAGGGTTGCTTCCTCCTTGCTCAGCAACTGCAGACCAGCTCCGGCCTGGGGAAAATGGTGAAACTTCTCTACTAATCCAGTGGGCTGAATGATACCATCTCCAACAAGAACTGAACCCCAGTCTTGGGGAAGGAACCTCTTTAAAGTTTGTCATTCCTTGGGTATTCTCCCTCAACCTTTGGGTACTACATAGTTTTCTTATATCTTACAGTTACTCTTTAATCAGAGTTAAATAATCCTTTATACAAAATTTACCCTGTTTAAACTGCTGTGTGGTTTTTATCTACTGATTGCACCAAGACTGATAAAACTATATTGAAAAATAAGGACATAAAAAATTTGTATGAACTGATATTCATTTTTAATCTTCTTATAAAAATATAATGTTCTTATATAAAATAGGCATTTTCTCTGTAATACTAAAACTACTCTACCAAGAATAACCTGGCTTTACTTGGTCAAAGTTATTAATAAAAAAGATACAAATAGAAGGAGGTGAAAGAAAATGAGTTTAGAGATTGAGCATTTAACGAAGTGTCTTTCACACTGGATTATCCATTACTTTGTAATATGTAATATCAGTATGTCTTCTATCCTCTAGTCAATAATTAAAGTAAATAAAATTGGAGTGAGGATGCTTTACTATCTTGCCAAATATTAATGAACCAACAAAAAAAATTCTGCATATTAGAACTATGCTATTAGTTATTATAACTGAATCTTAAAGTTAATTATTTCTTTTATTAGCTTTCAGCAACAATAGTATGTGTAACTTATAAAAGAAGCATAGTGGTCTCTGGCTGTTCATTTTTTAAACTATAACTGTAGGTACATGAACATCAGTTTCAACAACTTCTCAAATTCACTTAATTCTAATTCTACAACAAAACAAAACCAAGTAAGAGAAAATTAAACTATCAGTCACTTAGCTTATTCATACAACAACATTCATTTAGGAAGGCTTACAACAAAACAATGATCATGAAAATATAGACACATTCAATCTATTTTAAAAAAAATATTAAAAATAGAATTCCACAAAATCCTCCTG